AAATACGGAAATGTAGTAATACATGTAATGAAAGTATTAACAATAAATAAAGTCATGGGCAAGATCCCACCTGAACAACAAAAAAAAAAAAACAATTTGATTCAAGTTTCTTTACATTTGCATTAAACTTCTAATTATTGATTCAGCATTAAAAGTCATAAAACTTCGGTTATGCAATGTGTTTAAACTATTTTGTTTCTTAAAAAAAGTTGAAAAAAATTCTAACTTTTTCTTGGTCGGAAATCATATGAATTTTTATATTTCTTGAGAATATGCATAATAAATCACCTTTTGTGCCTTAACAAAACATTTTCTTTGGGCAATTTTACTACACGTCCACCTAAAATCAAACACTAAAGTAAATGCTAACCCTAACAAATACAAGCTTTAAAACTTTTATCGTTCGTGGCAATTTTGTAGGTGCCGTAGGCAGGGTTATTATTTAGACAATGACTAATATAATTGCATTTTTTTATATGTCTAATACAGTAGGTTTAACAGTAACAATTTAACGACCTTGCCGGAGGGTAAGTCAGTTACGGGCACAACATCCACGTGATAAATCCAGCCATGGATAGGACTATTAAACAGAAGATAAAATTATAATTAAAAAGGCTTTTTAAATAATCTAGCATGATAAAACCTGACTAATAAAATAATGTAGTGTGCTTAAAATAAACAACTAATATAGAAGTTCATATTGTCATACTTTTTATGAAATAACACTCAAGTATCAATTTGGCATGCATTAATCAAGAGAATTCTATTTGTACACTATGTGTATATACATGGATATGTTATTTTTATTAATAAATCTACTTTGAGGTTCTAACAAAAAAGATTCCTTGCAAAATTTTAGTATAAACTATGCCTTTTTCTAAGTTCTAAAACTAACTCTAATATTAAACAGGGTTAAATTTTGGGAATTACATTTTGCATATACACTACAGTAGATATAATAGGAAATAAAACAAAACTACATTTTGCATAATTACACAGATACAATAGATATAATAGGAAATAAACAAAGAAATGAATAAAGAAAATAAAGAAAAATAAAAGCATTCTATATTTGCTACTAATACGTCTCAAAAAATTAATAATAATTTCATCATAACAGCATCTACTTTATTAGGAAATGAAGAATAGAAAACGTTTCCCTATAAAAAAGATAAAAGCCGATATTTTGCTGGCAATCGCTGGAGGAACTCCAGTCATATTATTATTAAGTTTAGCGAGAAATATGTGTAAAGCTAAGATATTTGTGGTCACAATTATATAAAAGAACACCATTAAACAACAAGGATATGGATGCAAACATTTACACATAAATTTCCAGCAACACATGTGATAGCATATTAAATATGCTGTAGTGAAAATCATCATGAATGCTATTTGAATGGCATTCTTGTACGGATCCAAAAGAAACGCACCTAGACCTACCCAACCGATCATATGCAATATAACAGTTAACAAAAGTCCATAAGTGCGATACTTTTTTTCTAAATCATCGCCAACTTTACTAGCATAACCATCGTTGGCTATCTTAATACTCCAAGGAATGAGTTGTCCTATTGAAATTAATACCATTGTCCAATTTGCATGGCAAGTGACAGTTGAATAGATAACTGGGCCAATTACCTTAATAGACCTAAGAAGCAACGACTTTGGCTTTGGTCTCTCGTACTTCTTACCCCATTTCTTACCCCATTTCCAAGGAGAAGATAGGGAAAGATTTGCGTAGGTTAAAGCGATCTCTACAATTGTTATAAACCAGTCAATTGTTCCGAATGTTCCATATGGCAATCCGTAACATAATGCTTCATCTTTGAATCGTAGTCTACTTGATTCGGTTAGATTGCTGAGCAAATCATCGTACATCTTCGTACTATTGTCTATAAATAATTTCAACGGGGGGTTTTTTTTTTGAGTGCTTATTATTTGTATTAAAAAAAAACTTTCTAAAGGACTTTGCTATCTCATATTGGATTAAACTTACCATCCATTTTTCATTAAACTTGAAAAGAATAATGACGCGAAGTTCCTGATTACAATTATTTTCTAAGATTCAGAAAATTTACGGACTGTTTTCAATCTATTATATATTGCTTTGTTTGTACACATAATTTGAATGCATTGCCAATTATGTTCTGACGATTGTATTCACAGACTGACAACTTATATGCACTCCAACCTTGTTACACATATAAACTAATGAAATGTAACATAGATATCCTTTTTCTCCACTAATATCATATAAGAGCTTAACAAGTACGTACCAATAATAATAACCAGGGACATTGGAAAATGTGTACCAGGTTGTGCGGCATAATAACTAGATAAGAATTATATTCATCGAAGGTTCTGATTAGAATGATCTTTGCACTTGTTGATAATAACATTATCATTGTATTACGGGGTGAAACGGTAAGATGAACGAATACAATGAAAACAGGGCAAAGCAACCCGTCAGAGGCGTGATTATGGTAATTTGGGACGTTCTTTAGAAACTTATATGGATCCTTATGTGCTCCTTCCTCTTACATAAGAGTCGTCTCGATATTACGCCCTTTAAATAACCTCTTGGGTGTATGATTAAGAAAGGCTGTGACTGTGTTTTCGCTGAGGCTTCGCTTAGAATTTTAGCATATTGCCACGCGTATCTTTCATTGAGAATGGTTTAGCTTCGCGTCTAATTACCCGACCGATTATTATCAATACGACCGACAAGCCTCATGTGTCATGAAGATTTAAAGCCTCGATATTGTGACGTCTTAATTCTTTACTCACGGGATTTATGACGCAGCTTCATCTTATTTTCGGAAATGTCACTTTTAGCCTGTAACAATTGATATTTTTACAGGTATTCGTAGCAATTAATATAGCATATTATCCCCTGGCCAACCCCATCTATGTAGCTTTTTTTATGTACTTTATTTCTACTAGCAATATATCTATTTAATTTAGGTAATTGAGTATTATCCTATTTAATCTTAAATGTCAAAAACAATGCGTAAAATAAAAGTTTCGCTCTAAATAAGTACATGAAAGTTATGTTACATAGATGGCAGGGAATAAATCAGTTATATCCTATGTAGTTGGATATAAACGAAATTTTGCAGTAAAATATAACCAGTCGCTTACACAGCCGATTATATTTATTGCAAAATTCCACTTATACCCAACTGCCCAGGATATAACTATTACTTATCTAACTATTACATATCTATCGCTATTGGTACACATTTTCTGAATGTAAGTGCCACACAAAAAATACGCGGAAAAAAAAGAATTGGCCCAACACTATACAAAATTCTATCAGTGAACTGCAGTCACTCATTAATTGAAAAATGTCTGTACCAATTTATAACATTATTTAAAGATCAGTCTAAAATTTCACTGTCAATTAAATTTTGAGTTCAGGTGTAACATAAAAAATGCAAATAACATGAATGATTTATCAATTACTTACAATTGTATTTATACAATTTAGAGTAATTTAAGAATGTAACATTTCACAAGTGAAAAATAAATTTAGGACCTCCAACAGTTCAAAAATAATTCCAAAAGATTTATAATCCAGTAGCACTTAGAAGTTGAAATTTTTATACATATATTATAACTGTAGAACTACTAAATGGTCGAATGTCATCAGGAAAACTTTTAAGGTGATAGGTAACGATTATAATCGGATAAATCGATTTATATCGATGGCAAATAGTCGATTATAATCGATTATAATCGGAAGGGGTTATAAATCGGTTTATAACTATATTCGATTATAATCGATTAATCGATATATAACGATTATAATCGATAATAATCGTTATATATCGATATCGATTAAATCACCCTGATTTGCTCAGGTAACTTATTTATATACTTTAAAATACTTTAAAAACGTAACGTTTCAAAAGCCATTCATAGCTCTAAATGAACGTTAACAATCATCAGAAAATTTTAAAATTAGATTATAAATTAGATTTAATATCGATTTTTATCATTATATGATTATTATCAATTTTGATATAAATCAATTATCAACAACGCCGTCAGTTATAATCGCTTAAAGTCAATCGATTATAATCGATTAACTGTTTGCAACTGATC